CTACGTTCTTTTGTTGTAGATGTAGGAGGATGGAGAGACTACGTACGTTGTTTTTGGCGTTGAGATCGGCGTTGGCGTCCAAGAGGAGACGCACAACTTCGAGATGATTGTATTTCGCAGCGCAGATCAGAGGTGTATCTCCAATCTACCGATCGTTGAATTTCAATTGCAATCAAAAGACAATTGAGAAATATCGATCGACGTACACAACGACCTTCCGTCGAGACGTTCTTCTTCAGCAAGTAGTCGACGACGGTCGTTCGACCATAGCAAGCAGCAAGGCACAATGCATACTACGACCAAATTCATACAAATCTACAAATCTATCGATAGAGAAGACGACGTACACCATTGTTGTAGTTGGGGTTGACGCCTTCCTTCTCCACGAGCCGCTTCACGTCGTCCAGTCGACCGCCACTTGCAGCCACTCTGAGCTCCTCCTATGTAATCACAGGCGCAGTCGGTCGCTTCCTTCTTCATCTCTTCGCCCATGTACCTCCTTGGACGTCGTCATGGTCCTCGCGGCCGTCAACGTCCAAAACGAAAATGATCAAATAAAACGCCCCTTCCAATCACATGCCGTCATTTCCAAACCTCGCATGGGATTGGACAAAATACACACCAATCATTGCCACGTCCCTTGTCGCTCGGTTGTGACATTGGAGCTCAATGGCAGTACTCGTCGCTTTTGCAGCGTTCGTGTACAAGTACGTGCGTGCAAGGAGGTATATTCTTCAATCACCCTCGACATTGCGATCTTCCGACGTCGTACACCATTATCCACTTCCAGAGTCGGTACACCGGGCCACATCATTTTTATCCGTATCCCTTACTTTATCCGGATATAGTGCCCCGGGCTACGAAAGTGATTTGCCATATGCTTCGCCACTCTTTACGATGGGCAGCAAGCAAGAGGACGCCCGGTCACCCAGGGGGGTCGCCCGGAACCCACTGGTTGACCCACCAGGTCGGCCGCCCCCCGCCCCCCATACATCCCTATTTGTAGAAAACCCGCGGGTTTACGGGGCCGGGCCCCGAGCTGACCAATCACATGCGTCCATTTTTTAAGCAACCAATCACAGCAAGCAATGTCTTTTGCAACCGATTCCCCTCTCCCGTGCTGGCAGCGTACTGGGATACTGGACCGCGACTTAACGTACAATCGCGGAGCTCGACGATGGCGTCGATGTCGACTACACCCGTCCGATCATACACCAGCTCGAGCCGGCGCTGCTCAAAGTCGTCAACCACGCCTCGAGCACGATGGCTGACATCCTCAAGGACCGGGACCTGGGCATGAAGGCTGCCGACACGTCAGTTTTCTGTTGACAGTTCGACGCGCTCGCGGATTTCCGCACAGCTTTCGGCGAGTTCGTTACTCCGCGCACTCGAGCTAAAGGTATGAAAATCTCTTACGTGAACTCGCTAATCAATTACATAGACAATGCTGCCTCCGTTGATCCAGGTATCGACTAAGTCGCGGTCGAGAACGAGTCGCAGATCGACGAGCTGCTCGGCGCCGTAGCAGTATTTCAAGCTGGCGATCTCCCGGACGTCCAAATCGGTTTCGACGCCAACGAGACCAGTCTTCCCAAGGTCAGCCAGTCCCCCTCGATGAGCGTCGTCTCTGGTACCATTCTCCCACAACGCTTGCTTTCGGTACAATGACGACGTAGCTCTTCAAGTGCCTTCGGTTCTTGCACTCTTCGAGTCCACGGCCAACTGCTTGCGTAATTTACCCGCGAAGGAGAACGGTCAGCGATGTGCTCCGTGCCATTTTGTGACGTCAATATAGGGTCGGCAAACATGGAGGCCAAGTTCAACTTGCTTGCAGGAAGATGGTGCAAGAAGGCCCCCAAGCTGGTGGAGACTCCGACGACGTCGGCCTTTCTCAAGAGGAACGTCATCGTCGCAACCGCCAAGGGTCGGTATTGGCACCTCTCCGTGTACGTCAAGTCGTACGACTAGTGACGCATCGAGTCGTCGGCCAGCACCACCAAGTCCACCATGATCCACGCGTGTGGGGTCGAGTGGGACATCTTCCAGCATGTGCTCAAGAGCAACAACGACTACGTCTCCTTCCGCGGCGACGAAGTAAAGGCCGTTTTCAACACCGTTTGAATATTAGATATCTCCATTGTACTCTGTCTGTCCTCCAACATGATTGAACACACGCAGTCCAACAGGACGCCGGTCACCCCGGGGGGTCGCCCGAAACCAGCGGGTTCGGCTTTTTTGGCCCCCGACCCCCCACCTGAGGCCCATTTTGACCCGCGGGGTCGTCCAAAATCCCTTACGACCCCCGAAATTTGTCCTCGGCTATTGTAACAGATACAGGGGTGGCCGGGCGTCCTCAAGCAAGCGTATCACCTGCGCCGCGCCAGGGCAGCTCTTGAGACCAAGCGCCTGCGCTAGGCGACGTTATCAAACAGACCGACGAAGAAGGTGACGTCCGCCTTGCCAACTTGTACAAATACACATGCTTTGATCCACCACTTTGACACCAACTGAATTCCATTAGGACGAATCGCTCGCATACAAAGTCGGGATCATCGATGTTGACAGCGATGACGAGCTCGATCTATGGAGCCCACTCGATGCGCCGGGCGAAGCTGTGCAGGTACACCCAAGGGCCGTCTCACGATCCTACGCGAGCGCGAGCTGCTCGGCCTCGCCGAGATGATCTCTAGTCATTCTGAGACATGTGCTGCACCGGCGCTACCTTCATTGCAGCGACGCTACCTGTGGCTGCAAATCGTTTGATCCACAGCCGATCGAAGTACGTCCAGCAGTAGTAGCCTTCATGCGCCGCAGCTGCGTCTCCGCGCCGCGTTGTTTTCATGGATGGAACACTGGCGTCGTGGCGCGGCAGTGACGTCGGTGGAAAAAGCGTGGCAATTGTGGGCACCGACGCCGACTGCGATGCCTACCAGCTTATCGACGTCGGCTCAAGTCAAGCTAAAACTCTTTGTCTTGAACTGGCGTAATGCCCGCGCCGTCTGGGCGTTCTACGCTTGGAAACACAGACATCGAATGCAAACGTAAGGACAATCTAGAGCTCTTGCCTGTGCTATCCATCTCCAGCGCTTGGACGTACTTTAGTGGCTTTTACAAGCTCCGTCGGGGTCGCCACTGTCGCCCACGCCATGGGCGATGTCAGTGCGGGCTTTCCTACAGTACCCTGTTCCATATTACTACATGTAGTCCGGTTTCTCGTATAACCTTTCGTGCCGATAATAGCACCACCATATAAGGTTAAATGCTGACAACAAACGCCCACATATCCATATCCATGCCTAGTCCAGAACTATCGACTACGTTCTTATATCCAGTCGTTGGTCTGTGCAGCTTGTGGCTCGGACTTAGCCGTGGTTGGCCCGGCGGTGCGTGCCTTCGTAGGCCGCTAAAAAG